AAATAAATAAATAAATAAATAAATAAATAAATAAATAAATAAATAAATAAATAAATAAATAAATAAATAAATAAATAAAAACAGCCAAATTGTTAACTGGGGCTGGTTACAGTCTGGTTACTCCCTCCCACAGGAAACCAGTCTGTCCCCCTCTTCGTTGTCCTGCAAACAGGCAAATACCTTTCTCTTCAGGCAGGCTGTCTCAGAGGGTTTTGCTATAAATGGAATTGTTATGCCTTGTTCGTTTTGAATATATTTTTGACATTGTTTTTATTTACCATATTTAATGTAATATCTCTTTACTTATTTTTTAATATCATAATAATTTATTGATTTTAGCTTTTAATATTGATCATAAAAGCTACCTAAAACTCACAAAGGCTATAAGAATAATAAAACAGAGAGAGAGAGAGAGAGAGAGAGAGAGAGAGTCCATTGGCTCCAAGAGTCTACAGTTCCCACAACCTGACACTGAAGAGAGGTTTGAGATCAAGTATAGACTCCTTGCCCCTATGGAACTGTTGCAGGTAACACCAACAGGAGATAAAGGCAGCAAGGGACTAGGATCTCAGGCAAGAGGAAACAGTCAAGTCAGAAAACCTGGGGAAGGTGAGAAAGAGGCAATTGTGGAGGGTTTCTTGATGACGGGAGAAGAAGAACAGCATGTTGTTGTGAAGGAGGAGATAAGAGAGGGGACGGACTGGGGTGAAGAGAGAGAGAAGGCAGAGGAAGAAAAGAGAGCTGGAAAGAGGGGAGAGGAGGATCTCCCAGTAGGATGGGGATGGGTTGATTTAGAGGACCCCTAGACTGAAAAGGTCATCTGAATGGAACTGTCTGTTGAGGAGACTGGCTGCAGACATAAGCCAGTCCAAAAGCCTTCATATTGGGGAGAACAGGAGAAGCATGAACAGTGGAGAAGTGGGGGGGGGAGAGGATATAAGGTCCAGCTATTAGAGCTAAATGGAATAGAACAGACTGTTACAGTGTACCCCCCAAGAGAGGGGGTCCCTCCAGGAAGGGACCTCTGCCCACCGAGCCAGAGCCAGAGAAGCCAGTCGAGGCAGAATGGGCTCCTCATCCTTTTTGCAGAACTCTGTGTGACCGTTGCAGTATGGATGTACGCCAGGTGTTCACATGGCCCTCAGAGCAAGCTTAACCTGTTTTGTTCTTTTATGGAACCTGTAAGCTGCCTTGATCTCTATTTTCTATTAATATAATTAATACATCAATCTGTCTTCCCTGTTGTTGTTTTAAATAGGATTGTTTTAGGGGTTGAACAAAAAAACA